CAGATTTCTGAGAGCTGTACGCCCGATTTTCTGTGACTGCACTTTACAATCACACGTAATCTGACGGCTGATTTTGATCTGAATGGGCATATTGAAAGGGCCATAATTTTCTAATGGGTGGGGCGTTCGGCTCCAAATTTACAATGTAGCAAGAAGAAGCTATGTGCTCAATACTTATACCAGCAATGGAGCGCTTTCTGGATTTTAAAGGCAAGTTAAGGGGGTGTGCCGCACCCCATTAACTATATCAAAAAAACATTTTTAGCAGACATTATTAATATGAATCGATAACCTAAACGTTGTAGATTCCATAGGACTGTTTGGAGCCTGATTTGCCTTCTTGGCTCTAAGTAATACTTGGTGAAAGCACATCCATCAAAAGCGAAAAATGGGAAAAACGAGATTTTGGTTGGCTTCTAATTCCACAGTTTGGAGGTCTTCTGAAGCGGGATTCCTGAGGTGGACAAAGAAGGAGTAGTGCTTTGTCTTGAGTGCAAAAACGGATAGCTGATTCACCTTTGAAACAAAGTCAACCATGTTGGAATTTGACCATTTCATTTAGGTAGCCTAGTATCTTGAATGTTCAAAGATCGCTCACACTTTGTCTACAGGGGTTAATTGACATGCTAATTATGGATACGATACGAATATCATGTTATCACTATTATTAGATTACCCAACTACGACCCCCTCCCCTTTTGACTCCTCAATACGACCCCCCAGGTGTGGCTTGCCGCACCCCACGCTTGACCCTGGCCCTTTTTCGCCGTTTTCGCGCTCTCTAGTGGTGATTTTCGGATTCAGCATAGCGAATAGGCCCGGGTAAGCACAAAATCTCAAAATCGAGTTTTTGCCCGGACGCTGCCTTTAAGCCGTGTAAGAAGTTCTGTCCCATTTTTTCTTCCAGTAATGATCAACCGATTTGGAATATAGTTTATATGTTTTTGAGTCTGCTCTGCAAAATCGTGTGCTTCATTCCCCAGCTTAGCAGGATATTAGAGACGATTATTGGCACCAGAAGAAAAAATTTAAAGAGACAAAAAATCCGTTTCCGACATCTTTTTTTCTTTCCAAGTTTCCCCGTTTTCCTTTGATGATTTTGATTCAGTAAGTTTGACAACAACAAAACAGCCTACTAGACTCTTATGATTGTAACGCCACTGTTTGTGCTTGATCTCTTCTCCTACCGATTTTTAATGCCAATTTTCAGAAGTTGGCAGAGCAAAAATCCGCTGCGGCGATGTTCGTCGCCTCGCCTATCTGAGCTGTGTGGCCCTGAAACATTCAATTTTTGAGTAACTAACTATGAATTCGATGATTTTATAGCCAAAGGCCATTCTTACTGCTTTTTCTGGATTATCCGTCCACCGTCCTTTTTCAGGAACATAGAAAAGGCGTTACAGAAGATTTTTTTGAGTATGAAGAAATTTTTTTTGAAATTTTGCCTTTTTGAGCCTCTGCAAAAGCTATAGCATTCTTTTCTTAGGCTCAGCAAATTTTTCGAGCTGTTTTGTATTGTAGACGTTATCCGTCTAGTTACCTCGGTGCGGTATGTGTTCCTGCACACAATTTTGAAATCCCGGATGAGAGCGGTTTGCGCCGTGCCGTGCTTGCACCAGGTGCACGTAAGAAACCACTATCCGTCGGAATCCGGCGCTGACCTTAGCTGCAGTACATAGCTGATGCGACCATAAAAGGCGACCCAGCTGCCTCTTACTTTTCATTGATCTTACTTATCAGATCATAAAGTGGTCCTGCATTTGGTATGATGTGTTGTTTATCCTCTGGGTGGTATATAAAACTAATCATTTCGCTATCTGTATTCAAGAAATGAATGGGGACCTGAGTTTGCTAACAAATGGTGTTGACGGATGACGTAGAAGTATCATTTACGAAATCTTTTGTTGTTGAGGATTTCAAAGCAAGACTGTCATTAGTAAGGATGACTTCATCTCCCTGAACAACACGTTTTGAGAAGCAGAGGTTCTTCTAACTTCATCAAATAGAACCCATTTATAATCTGGCGTACAGTTATTGGGATATCTCGATAATGATAAATTTCATGAGAAATCCTAGAGAAACATCAGTTCCTTAGTATTTGCACGTTATGGTATACTGAGAGGGTATCCAAGATGAGGAGAATTTCAGTACCGTAGCAAGATCAGAGAGTAAACAAGACAAATGATAGTTTCAGGATGACCTAATGATGTGGTAAGTGAAATTTACATGTAATAAGTAAGTATCATAGCCAAAGGAAAGATGAGAAGCAGCTGGGTCGCCTTTTATGGTCGCATTAGCTATATACTGTAGCTAAGGTCAGCGCCGGATTCCGACGGTTAATGGTTTCTGTGCACGTACGGCTAAAATTCGACGCCAAATTCTGCCCTTTTTTCTTATTTCGGTGCTTTTTTTGTTTTTAGCTGCACGCACGTCTAGTCTTCCATGATTTGTTACCTTTATGCCTTGCATTGCCGTTTAAGACCGCATATCAAAAAATTTTCACTTTTGCTTTCAGGTAGGGGAGGCAATGGGCAATCCTGCAGGATTTCAAGGTGAGTGTGCTTTCTTCAGTATTGTCGGATGTAGAAAGAGTAGAGCGTTTCTTAGGCAATGCGAGTTTCAACTTCCATCTAATTGATATCGAAATTCTGTTCTTTTATGCCGTGTTTCTATAGAGAAGCTTTTTCTGAATTCGATAGTAGTATTGAGAGACGCTGGATAATAGTAAGTTGAGTATTTTACGTTCATTCATGACTTTTCCTGTTTTGCTCGTACCTTTTCGGTTCTTTTGCTATCACAATCAGTTTATTTGTTATATCTTTCCTTGTTCGCTCTTCTTTCGCCATAGCTTCCGGCCAAACCAGCTCGCAGTCGCAGCTGCGTATTCTAATTGTACAGGGGCTTTTAACCTGAGAAACATGGTCGGCGAGACTTGTCGTTGCATGTGTGTTGTTGCAGTTATTTGCTTTGTTGTTGCTGCGGTTGTTTTGGGGTCCGCACCGTATGTTGTTGTTTTGTCGTTGGCCCGCACCGTATGTTGTTGCCTTGACCCTCACCGTATCCGCTGAGAGTGAACGCGGCGAGAAAGCGCGAGGCGGCTGGAGAGCGGCGCCGACCGTAACACTCAGGTTGAAAGTCCCTATAGATTAATGAGTGGACTGTATGTGGAAGACCTTCATTCCAAGTACAACTAAGTGCCTGTTGATTTATTGCGTTCTTGGTATGTGAAAGGCAACATACAAGGACTGGGCATATTTATTACCTAGGTAATGAGATGTCTGCAACAACACTACTGAAAGTGACTATGATTCATGTATCAAATTGCAATCGTATTAAAAGAACAAAAAAGGAGATTTGCACTTAACTTACCATCCATCCAAATATCTTTGAGATGCTGAATAAAATACATGCATTTCACAAACATCGCATTAACAGCAAAAATTTTTGCTTGAAGCAATCCTGTGTTTATAAATAGCTTTTCATTGAAAAATCGGCTAAAAAAACAAATTTTTCGATATCAGTTAGAAGTAAATTGAAACTCGCATTGCCTAAGTGACTACTCTTTCCACATCCGACACCACTGAAGAAAGCACACTTATCCTAAATCTTGCAGGATTGCCCATTTGCCTCCCTTACCTGAAAGCAAAAGTGAAAATTTTTGAAATATGCGGTCTAAAACAGCAATGAACGGCGTAAAGGTAACAAATCATCGAAAACTAGACATGTTTGCAGCTAAAAACAAAAAAAAAGCATTGAAATAAGAAAAAATGGGTAGAATTTGGCGTCGAATTTTAGCCGTATGTGCACCTGGTGCACGGAATTTTGAAATCCCGGATGAGGTGCACGGCACGAGCCGCGTCCGGGATTTCAAAATGTGCAGGAACACACACCGCACCGAGATTACTAGACGGATGACGTCAACTATAAGCATTCCGACCTTAACAGCCACTCAAATTTGTTGTGAAAATGAATTTTTTTCTCTTTGGTTTTTGAAACTTGATACTGAGAAACTCTCTGAATTCTATTGATGTAGGGAAATGAAGTGAAGGTTTTGGTAGAGCAGACTTAAAGCTTTAGAATGCATATATACATTCTGCAAAATACCCTGCAAAATATTGTGAAAAAATCGAAAGAAAAAATGGGACAGAATTTATTACACATAATATCATGGCAAGATATGTAGCTTATATAGCAATAGAATCAAACTTAATCAATCGATATTGGATGTAGTGCAGCCTTTGTAATTATAGAGCTCAACAGTTGCGGAGTCGGGTGCACCAACACCTCCACTCCTCCGCGAGACTCTGCATCTGTTCCGCGAACATGCTTTCTTATCATATCCGATCAAGTGAGGTTCCACCTTTCCCACGCTCGTGGTGGGAAAGTGATCAGAGAGCATATTCGCGAAAGAGGTGCAGAGTCTAGGCAAACGGCGCGTGGGAGCGGAAGTGCTGGTGCTCCTGACACTGCAGTTGATAAGTTCTGTAACAAGGGAAACATGTCTGGTTGAAATGGCCTTTTTAGATGGGATGTGTACGGGATTAAAGTAGAACGCTGATTTCAAATTAGCCTTCTTATTTGCGGAACATTTGTGCATGAGGAGTTAGGAACGTTTAATGAGCAAAAAGTTAGATGTGCATTTAGGATAAAATAAGTTGCCAAGGTCTCGCTAGCCCTCAAAAAGGCGACCAAGAGTGATATATTCTTTCATCTCAGAGTGTTTATTTACGTTTAATCTTTTGCTCCAGTGGACGCTCATTCGTCCACGAACGTCTGCAGACTAGGAAGGCAGATTTGGGTTCAGCGTTTTATGCCCTCCAATACGGTGAGTCCATCAAAAAGACCACTCCAACTAAACTGCTTCCCTTGTAAGATTGTTGGCGTTTAACTCAAATGTACTCAAATGGGTGCGAAAGCTCTCGAAGATGCTGCTAATGATTTGTAGTTCATGAATGTATTTAGCTTGATTAGCACCATAATATTCTCCAACCATATCACAGGTTCTATCTCTGTCCTCAGCCATCTCTGCAGTTGGACCAGATTTGGTTCATGAGGATGTAGTTGAAAGCGATGATCCGAACCATGAATTGATGCGATTGAAATGTATGGGTGACAGCAAGTATATGTATCAGAGTGTGATCGTTGCAAGGTAAGTGATCGACAATATACCTTTGGTAATATCGTAGTCCTTGCGATGCAGTAGCGAATTGGGTTCGGACGTCTGCTCGTTTGAGGGATCTGTGATGAGCACACGATCTAATCTACACGAGCTTAGGAAAAGATTATCGAAGGTCATGGATCCTCAGGGGTGAGCTGAACATGCAGCCACAGCGGTTTGCATATTATATGACAATGTTAGGCTCTGGGATCTAGCGCAAGAAATGCCAGGAACTTCATATCTGAAAGCACCAGGGAACGACATGACAGATAGCGGTTTTTCGAGAAGTTCGCATTCTAAACTCAGGTGAGGTGATTTTTTTACATGCTTTGTTTAGTGCATTCTAATCGTACATATTCTAGTCACGAACATCGATCATTGTTCGATTCAGCAATCAGTGGTGAATTGTCGTCGAGTGAGGATGAATCTGTTAGCAAAGCACAGAGGTAAACTTTCTGCTCCTCATCATCGGTCACTGCCATCTTTTCAAAGCATAATTCTTGTTTTTTTCTCAATATTACGCAATCTGCATACATTAAGTTCACCAAGGAACGCCCAGCGATAAGTCGCCATTTTTGAATGTGCAGATCAATATATCCTCGGGCGCGCACGTCACAAATTGGTATCGCAAGCAGGGTCAAGCGTGTTGATGCGATCCGGGACCCTCATTTACGACCCCCCCCCCCTTGAAGGTACCCATCCGTACGACCTTCCCCCCTTCCCCCCTTCCCCCCCCCCCCGCCACCCTCCCTCTTTATCCCCCTTACCTCCCCTGCCCACATTCCTCGCGGTAACTTGCATAAAGAATGTCAATTTCGAAAAACACCCGCGTGAGAACTTCAGTGAGGTTTCGGAAGCAGAATTTTTAGGCCAATGGGTGCGTCCAGCATTTGTAGCACACGCACACCTTCAATAATGTTTGAGAATCTGCAAAATTTTCAGGCATACTTCGGACCAGTAAATACGATTCCCGTAGGCGACAAAAATTTTTGCACGGAGAAAAAAAAATGACATTCTCAAACTACAAAAGATGTTTTCGACTAAGAAGCTTACTTCCTACCTCATCCACAGTTTTTCCCGCGAAAAAAACCGCTTGAGCGCCGTCCAGAACGACGTCAAAACCGTGCATGAGCACGGTAGTTTGAAAATTCGTAACTAAGGTCAGGAAAAACTGAGAGGCTGCAAAGCACAGGTTCTGTATAGTGCCCAGACTATCCATATAAAAAGTTTCAGCTCTTGAGGAGCAGTAAGCTCGAAAAAATTTAGATGCGACTCGCAAATTTAAGTGCGATCCCAAAAAGCAAAAACTGGGATTTTTGAGCTTAAAATTTTGTGACTTACCAGAGAAGTTATAAAACAGCCTGCAATTTTTATGAGAGAAAGTAGGATGGTTGGCCTCATATTACAGCAGAATTACAGCCAACAAGCTTCAGTAGCTCCGAAGGAATTTAGATGCGACCCAGATACGACCCCTCTTTCGTGATTTTTTGCTACCATACGTAAAATTATAAGAAAATCCACAGTTGACAAAATAACACCAAATTTTGCACTGATGTAGCGGAGCATCTCCAAAGTACAGATAAATAATATGGGCCCGTAAAAAACATTACAAAAAGATTTAGAAATTTATAATGGCCACAGCTGATAAAGATATTCGCTTTTGTCGAGTGTGTGAGACTTTAGGAGGGCTTTAGAAGCAAGATTTTTAGGGCAATCGGTACTTAGCATTTTTATCAAATCATACATCCTTCAAAAGTGTTTTGAGCTCTTGTAAATGTTTTTTCTTGAGAATTTATACAGATTTTTTATCTTTTTCATTCTGATTTCCCCTTTTTTCATAGATTTATTGTAAAGAACATGACTAATTATATGCTTTTTGATTTCCTTTTGAGCTTAGGGTATTTTAGCCTAACTACCTTCTCTTACGACTCCCCCCCCCCCCCTCACCTTAGTACCCTCTTTACGACCCTCCGTTGCGACAGTCGCATCAGAAGCTTGACCCTGATCGCAAGCCTAGTAACAAAAATTTTCTTGTCCGTTTTAGGCCCCGGACAGACTTCACGCGATTTGATCGTCGCGACTCAGTCGCGACGAGACAACTGTTACAACATCATCCCATGCCGATCAACTTACATTCGGTTGTGATACTTTTCCAGCCCGACTTTTTTGAATGTGAAATGAAATTGAATGGAAATCTTGGCGATTAGATCGCGACGATCAAGTCGCGTGAAGTCTGACCGGGGCCTTACGTCAGCTCATCTGCGTCAAACCTGGAGGACAATAATTCGAAGTACCGTTCAGCACTTATGTTTGTAGTGCACAACATGATAGAGCGGAAGTACTTGTGCTTGCGCGGAAAATCATTGCATCTAACGGATATGCAAATCGTGCCAGAACAGCGAAGAGAAGTGAAAAGCGCCATGCTCAGGTAGACAGAATGAGCGCAACTGAAAAGATCTCTTTTTGCATCCCCTATATTTCCGATAAATTAAGCATTGCATTCCGTGTCTGAGGAAGTGCGGGATAGAAATTACAGTTACTATTGTAGAAATACTTCCAAATAATCATAAGAGCTTTTTGGTGCGCAATCGTAACTATGATCACGGCTGCACTACGCCCAATTGCATCATCTGCTCTTGGGGCAGGGGCGGGGATTGCAAGGCGACGGGGTCATCTATCTTATCACCTGCGCGAGCTGAATGACGCGTAATGGGGAAGACAGTGCGGCTGCTATTATGATGTCGCATCAGAGAGCACGGCAAAGATGATCAGGAACCTTCACCCCACCAAGCCTACGGGACGTTAGAACACGCGGATACAAACTTTGAAGTCGCAGTGATAATCTTACAAGGGAATGATAACTGATGGCCGTGACTTTTCATAATATGTTATGCATCAAAATGCTTACCTTGAAACGCTGATCACGAAACTATCTTCTTTAGCTGCAGAACTTTTTTCCAAGAAGAATTAGCTCTTGCAAAAGCTCTAACGCAAATTATTTGCACCGACCGAGATCAAACGGGCATCCATTGTGCAATAATCGACAGCGCTAACCACTAGAATTTGATACCTCTAGCACTTATCGAAATTACTCGTATTCTTGTGCACTGATGGTCAGTCGAGGAGAAAGGGAAATACGATTTTTCCGCAATATCATTTCGCAGATAACGCCCCGGTTTTAAGATCAGCGTTCTAAGGCGAATGTCACCACATATGTCACATATCGAAAGGAGACGGCCACCAAATATCCTCTCCCCGTTAGCGCATGAATCACAGATATCGGTTTGCAAAGGTTAGAGGCATTTTGGATTTACGCCAAAAGCCCTAAAACGAATCTTAAAGAAGAATGCCTAGTTACCACAATTGAGCTCGTTCCTTACTTGGATTAGATCTTTTGACCCGACGTAGGCGTTATAAGAGTTGCAGTGGCATATGCGTTCAGTCTCAACTCTGGCTTTGACATTAAATTTATCGGCGTATCCAAGAAATGGGTGCTTGGTTAGGCAGCTAATTACTAATCACAAACTTAGAGTTTTGTTTGCATGGCTGCAGAGACGTTTGGTCGAACAGTTTGCAAATCGTCCTGTCCATTCCAGGGTTTGGAGAGGCTACTGCCGAAACGTTAGCCAATAAAGTATTAACAATCTTTGGTCAAGGCTCAGAACTGCACCTGCACTGATTCACTACATAATCTGAATTTTGAAGAGTAGAATTGAGCTGGATTCTGACACTGGCGTTGTGCTCCGTTAACGCAAATTTGTGTGGGAAATTTGTATGGGAACTTCGCATATTCTGCGATAGCGGATGCGCTCACTACTTTAGTCCGCTTATACTGATTCTTTTATTGTAAGGTAGCCTTTATCTTTAAAGAGTCGAGTGAAGCGAATTGAATTTTGAATGAAGCGAATTTTCTGCGAGTTGATTGCTTATTTTGAGGGAATTAACCGTTGTTTTGTTTGCTATCATCGGCAGAATCACTAGTCCGTAAAGGTTTTCAATTGCTTTAGTATCTGTGCTTTTTTTCATCTCCGATATGCATATCGCCTTCCCATCATTTCCCATTCGAATATAATCTTATATATAAAGCTGAATGTCTGTTTGTCTGTATGTCTGTATGTCTGTCTGTCTGTATGTCTGTCTGTCTGTCTGTACGTATGTTCCGAATAGAAAATTCCATTTCTGAACCGATCCGGACCAAACTTGGCACACATACACTACGGGCCCCGGCGGGTGTCATAGGCTACTTTTCGTCATCGATCGATATCGATTTTATCGATTTTTATCGATTTTTTTGCTGAGTTCACCTACGGGGCTGGGAGTTGGCACAGGGGGGTAATCGAGCATGGGGATTCCGAATACAATATTGGTTTTCGGGATTATCGATTACTTTTATCGATTTTATCGATTTTTTTGCAAAGTTTGAGCTACGGGGCTGGGAGTTGGCACAGGGGGGTAATCGAGCATGGGGATTCCGAATACAATGTTGGTTTTCAGGATTATCGATTACTTTTATCGATTTTATCGATTTTTTTGCAAAGTTTGAGCTACGGGGCTGGGAGTTCGCATAGGGGAGTATTCGAGCATGGGGATTCCGAATACAATATTGGTTTTCGGGATTATCAATTACTTTTATCGATTTAATCGATTTTTTGCAAAGTTTGAGCTAGGGGGCTCGAATTTGGCACAGGGGGGTAATCGAGCATGCTGATCATCCCCAAGGGGGGTGATCAGCATGCTCGATTACACAGCTGTGCCAAATTCGAGCCCCCTAGCTCAAATTTTCAAAAAATCGATAAAATCGATAAAAGTAATGGACGATCTTGAAAACTAATACTGTATTCGTAATCTGCATGCTCGATTATCCCCTCTGTGCAAACTCCCAGCCCCGCAGGTCAAACTTTACAAAAAAATCGATAAAATCGATAAGTAGTGGACGATCCTGAAAACTAATATTGTGTTCGTAATCAGCATGCTCGATTACCCCCCTGTGCAAAATCCCAGCCTCGCATGTCAAAATTTACAAAAATCGATAAAATCAATAAAAGTAATAGATAATTCTGAAAACTAATATTGTATTCGGAATCCCCATGCTCACTTCCCCCCCTGTGCCAACTCCTAGCCCTGTAGGTGAACTCTGCAAAAAAATCGATAAAAATCGGTAAAATCGACATCGATCAATAACGAAAAGTGGACTGTGACACCCGCCGGGGCCCGAAGTGTATGTGTGCCAAGTTTGGTCCGGATACGGCGGAGCCGGGTAAGCCAGCTAGTGATTAATAAGCGCTATTCCACATCACTTGACCTAAAAAAATGAAAACCACGGATTTCGCTGAAATTTCGTTTAGAGGGGTTGTTTAGCACGCCGATTACGAATTCACATTTATTTCCCACGGAAATGCCGTGGGAAATAAATGGAGTTACGGTAGGATTATGGTAGGGGGTCAGAACCATGGATTTGTCCCAAACTTCGCCTGGGGGGGGGGGGGGGGTATTTGGCATGCTGAACATAAATATCATATTCGCTTCGTGCGGAACACTATTTTTTCGATTTACAGTGGGTATTCCGTAGATGGCTAACAATCCCGAATTTGCTCAAAATCTCGCCTGGAGGGGTTTTGAGCGTGCTGATTGCAAATATCGTACTCATCAACAATACTTATTGTTAGAGTTACGATGAGCTACAAAGCGCAAGGAGCAACCTTTCCGCTTTTCAACTAGATGTGAATCCCGAAAATTCACGAAAATGCTTTATCCTGTGAGACGAGTGCGATATAGCTGATCAGCACGTCGGATACACCCCCCCCCCCTCTGCATAAAGGTTGAGCAGATCTATCACTTTAGTCACCTACCGTACAGCTCTCGTAATTCCGTGAAAAGTTTCAAAACGCAAAATAGCATGAGTTCCGTAATCAGCGTGCTTAGGAATCCCTCTGTGCAAAACTTTTGTGCAAATTAGGGATTTTTAGCCATGTACCGTATACCCATTGTAATAAAGAAAATGGCATTACCGCACGAATCGAATTTGATTTTCATGTTCACCATGCCAATTCCCCCCCCCCCCCCTAGACGAAGTCTGGGACGATTCCATGGTTTTGACCCCCTGCCGTAATCCTACCGTAACTCTACCGGATGACGCTACCGTGCGAAATAAATGTGATATTCGCAATCAGCGAGTAAAACAATCTCTCTAGACGAAGTTTCGGCGAAATCTGTAATTCTCATTTTTTGGGTCAACTAATGGGGAATAGTACCGAATAATATGTTCAATCCTGAAAGCGCGATTAATATTAGGTCGTTCCGAAAGTTCTTTCCCTTTTTTCAACCTATCATAAAAACACGTGGAATGAGGGTAGAAAAACGCTCCAAGCGCTCTTCAATGCCTTTTTCTTCCTCTTTCCAACAGTCATATTCCTGTATCGCTTGCTCTCGTGGTCATGAAATAATACCCGGATTTTCGAAACCATGGTTCTTACCATGTCCAACTTTGGCAATTTTTCACAGTTTTCGTTTTTGACTTTTGGAGAAGCTTCAATAGCAGTCGGATAGAGTAAACAAAGTGCAATTTAATGGAATTTTTTGGCATCTATTGCTAGCCCTAAAAATTTTTTAGAATCATTTTTGTGATGATATCAAATTCCACTTTTGGTGATGCCAAGAACCACATAAAACGGCGCACAACTAAGGTGTCATTCGATGCAGCTTTTCCTACTCTTCCTATTGAGTATTTTTCTTCCCAGTTTGTGGGGGGTTTTGGCCATAAAATTTCCATAACTCTTGATTTTAAACCCGCCTGAGGGTGTGCACGTAAAATGCGAAATCTTATATTTTGAAGCGGTAAAGACTCAGTTATTTGTAAAAATAGTGGACAATCATAAACGACTTTTGATAGTGTCGAAATCCGAATTGCTAATGTTCGAAGCGTTTGTGTGTTTTGTAACTTCGAAAAAGTGAAGATTTCTGGAAAAGTTGTTTCAAAAAATACTGAGAAGCCAGTTGAAATTGCCAAAAAACTCCATTAAGCTGCACTCTGTTTACTCTATCCGACTGCTATTGAAGCTTCTACAAAAGTCAAAAAAGAAAATCGTGAAGAATTGCCAAATTTGGACATGGTAAGAACCATGGGTTCGAAATTTCGGCCATTATCTCACTGACCACAAGAGCAAGCGACACAGGCGTATAACTGTTGAAAAGAGGAAGAAAAATTGCGTCGGATAGTGCTTAAAGCGTTTCCCTACCTTCATTCCCTGTGTTTTTATGATAGGTTAAAAAACGGAAAAAACTTTCGGAACGACCTAACATCTTTCCGGGGATACATTTATCAATTTAACTTTTGGAGCTAGTTTTTCTCTTTGCTTACTTTGGAAATTCTCTCATTGATTCTCAGACTCATGGGGCTTTAGAATTTTGAATGTAGCCTTGTTCCCTTTTTCTTTAAAAAATATTCTCAGGCATGCTTTGAACCCGCTGCAGGAGTCCGATTCGGTATCGCTCATGAGTCTGGAGTGGTGCGACGAGGTTCTCAGGTCAGTGCATCATCCAAAAAGTTGCGGATTCATTACAGCTTTGGCAGACACACTAGTGTATACTTTCATAGTACAAATTTTGAAAGCTTGGAGCTTCTCAAAATTCTGAAGCTTACTCTAGATTCTAAGTTCGGATATCATGTTACTTTTATGAGTACTTCAGCGTGGTAGTGCTTCAGCGAATCAAAATTTTCCATCCTAAAAACAAAACAAAGTTGGTACGCTTTATTTGTAACTATCGGTGATTCTTGATTATATACGAGGACGTCTCAAAAAATGTGCACACTGCTTGATCGTTAATAACTCGCTTTCTCTAATATCATTCGCCGATTTTTGAGTACCATTCTGAAGAGCCTGTTTTAACTCAAATTTACGGTATAAAGCGAACCTCCGATCACTCTTCGCTACCATAAGATTACGGTGTAAACTTTCGGCATACTGTACCATTCGGAACTAGTCGTTCGATGAAAAGATTTGAAAGATATGGTGGAAATTGTGTAGCAGGGTTTTGAAACATGCTGACTTCATTACACAACATTTCACAAGTTTTCAGGCTTTCTAATGGTGTAATCACATTTTTGAAAAACATTGATAGAGCAGTCATCATTGTTTTCCCGAATGACTCAAAAACAAACATGATTGTGATATGCAAATTATTATGTGGGTCCGAAAGTTTCATCAATTTTTTCAATCCATCGGCAAACACGCTAGAATGAAGATGAACAATCGCTCCAAAATGCATCCAATGCAGAATTTCTCCCTCTTTCCAGCTGCTAAACTCCCATTGTGTTTCGTTGCGAGAGTGACGCGATATTTGCTGGAAATTGCAACCATTCGTTTTTACCATGTTCAACTTTCACTAATTTTCAAAACTTTTGTATGAGACTTTCAGAGGAGCCCTAATATAGCCAGCGGATAGAGCAAATCTTTTGCCAACAGATGCAACCTTTTTCTTTCTTTCAGCTGCTTTTTCAGATTTTTGCTAAATAATTTTCAAAGTCTTGTGTTTTGGAAAAACGCATAACCTGTTATTGCACCAAACACAGCAAAATCTACAGAAAACGGAGGTTTCAACACACGTTTATTACTACCGCTAATATTACGAAGTTGAGCAGTTTTCGCTTCAAATTATGAAGATTTTGAAACATAGGTTACGTCGTTGCGCACTCCTGAAGTTGAGAAATACTGCGATTTTTCCCACAAATTTCGCCTGTCTCTGCAAAAAGACAAGTGTTAGAAGGAGGAGAAGAATTTGCATCGAATGGTGACTGAACGGTTTAACATTTTATGTTCTACGAGGTTAAAATATGCCGAATGTAAAATTTGGCCACTTCAAAAATAATTCGTAGAAATTCTGAAAGACAAGCCGTAGGGCTGCAAAAAATTGCATCTGTTGGCAAAAGGTTTGCTCTATCCGGTTATTAGGGCTCCTCCGAAAGTCTCACAAAAAAATTTTTAAAATTAGCGAAATTTGGACATGGTAAAAACGAGTGGTTGTAATCTCCAGCAAATATCGCGTCACTCTCGCACCGAAACACAATGGGAGTTTAGCAGCTGGAAAGAGGGAGAAATTCTGCATTGGATGCATTTTGAAGCGATTGTTTATCTTCATTCTAGCGTGTTTGCTGATGGATTGAAAAAACTGACAAAACTTTCGGACCAAACTGACAAAACTTTCGGACCCACCTAATATGTATCTGGAATCAACGATTTTGATTAGCCCTAGTGTAAGAGTTTTTGGCTTTTTTGATTCCCCCTCTGAGGCAAAGTGGCGGCTTAAAACTCTCTTCTAAGTTCCTATCGTAACCTTGCATCAAGGGATCGGAGAATCGCTTCTTCATGTAATTATAGGCTCAAGCCAGCTTTATATTAAGTTATCCCGAAAGTTCATTTGCACCATTTTCAAAAATTCATAACTTCCTTCTGTCATAACATTTTTGCGCAATTCAAATTTTATTAGAAAGCGTAAAGCATGTGTTCACAAAAGTCTTTTGGGGACTTTCCAACATTTTCAGGTTGCAGAGATAAAAATGAAAGAACGACATTATCCGGAATTCGGAATTTTTAAACAAAAATTCTAGAAATTCAGAAACTGAAAACTTAGGATGATGGCTATTCTGGATTTTATCGCACAGTTTCTGAATTTCTAGAATTTTTGCTTAAAAATTCCGAATTTCGGATGATCTCGTTCTTTCGTTTTTTATCTCTGCAACCTGAGCATATTGGAAAGTCATCAGGGGATTTTTGGAAACTGCATGCATTACGCTTTCTAAGAAAAATTTGAATTGCGCAAAAATGTTATGATAGAAAGAAGTTATGAATTTTTGAAAATGGTGCGAACGAACTTTCGGGACAACCTAATAGAATGATCCTAAAGGGCAAAAGGCATTGAAGCAGGAGAGTTTATTAACAATAATCTGCACATTTTCTTGGGGACACCCTCTATGTTTGATCACTGATGGTTTTTTGGGCAATTCGGAAAGCTTTACTTCATCAGAGTATGGAAAGATTGCAGATGTCACGATTCTTATCTCACATTCCTCAAAAGATCTATCTATCGGCTGTGTTATTACTGCAATGCAATAGAACGTTCGTAGAAGGAACTCCCATTTTTCCGAAGAAAGTCGTGCAATAATGCTCCGTGCACCATTAGGGAGCCTTTTGCATCATCATATCACATTTCAAAATTCGAGCAATTTGGCTTCTTCCTTTTGCATGTTTGATATGAGAGGTATGGTACAGGGTGTGTCGTTAGTCATGTAGATCACTTAATCTCAAAGTTGTTTCAGGTGAGAAAGTACTTTACTGCCTTTCTTTATTCTGCTTTTTGAAATTTTTCTCACCTACTATTTTGAATTGAATAGTTACTTTGAGTATCTACGAATGCCTCATACCTGCATATTTTGTCCCTGTTCACGTCTGGTGCTGTTTCTTTTATTAATTTGCGAGATTGCATCTGTCCAGAGATCATAAGCACGTAGAGGGCGTAATTATCTTGGATTATCCCGATTGCACCTTTCTGAAAATGGCTACTTTACATCATTTGACACGAGCTCGCGCTTGCACATCAATGACCAGAAGAGAAATCATCGTGGAATTTTTCGATTTTTCAGGGATGAAGACTGTAATGAGGAGCGGTTGAGGGGCGATTGTGAATGGGGTCTGGAAATGAGCGAGAGTGGTGCGGGATCTTCAAAGCTGTCGGTAAGCTCACTAATGCCATTCTATGTGATGGGTTTTTCGCAAAATGACGAAGCTTCCTTATTGGGAAGTCGGAGAGTTCCAGGAATCAAGTCATACTCCGTCTAAGGGAAGGAACGGAACGGGCAGAAAATGTAACACATATAATTTTGCCTTTTTTTATAGTACTTCGCTTCAAAGAACTTGTTCAGTAAGCTTGGAAATTGCCAAGTAGTCAAAGACGATGGTGAAAATTTTTAGAGAATTACAATATCCTAAAATTGTATTACGTTCAGTTTGACTGCTCTGCTTTCATCGTTTTTTCAAATTTCTTCCCTTTTTTTATCGTGGGTTTTTACAGAACAACAAAAAAAATTATAAGAAAATTTGTAATGCGAGGGAAAAGCGCTAAAGCCCAGATCAAGTGGGGCTTACTTGGGCCGCTTCCATACAATCCTAAGAAAATTGTGTTTGCAAATAGCCTATCGCTGTTCGCTGCTTGTTCAAGCATTGACTGTTTCATCCTTGCCTTCGCGTTCAAATGAACTGTTTGTTTTAATTACCCTATTTTCAGGTGTATAAGCCGCACCCATTTCGCTCTAAAGGCGAACACGCCAAAAGACTGACTGTCATCATGGAGCGCGTTAAGTGAGAACAGTATGCGATAAGGCGACCGCTTCGCGAGACATATGCGCGGCGGCACGCCTGGGTCTGCTCGCGTTTAGGGCAAAAAGGGCGCGGCTTATACACCTGAAAATAGGGTAAGTAAGTGGTTCCCAAGAATCGTTTGTGCGTTTTAGTCAACGCAGATGTTAGAGGGTTTTGCTGTCAGTGTTTTGATCTGGTCATAGCTCCTACTCATCTCGAACTTACAATTAGGGCAGAAACAAAGCTGTTGGATGTATTTCAGCGGAGTCGCAGCCATTTCCTTTACATTTTTTGAGGATGGGAAGCGAAAATTTGATCTCCCATGTCTTATTATAGAACCTTGTACCTTCATCTTATTCCTGAACTACTTATCCACCTTTCAATCTTATATATAAAGCTGAATGTCTGTCTGTATGTCTGTCTGTATGTCTGTATGTCTGTACGTATGTGCGGAATAGAAATTTTTATTTCTGAACCAGTTTGGACCAAACTTGGCACACATACACTTCGGGGCAGGGAGCGTATCATAGGCTACTTTTCGTTATCGATTGATATCGATTTTATCGATTTTTTGCAAAATTTGAGCTACAGGGCTGGGAGTTGGCACAGGGGGGTAATCGAGCATGCTGATTACAAACATATTATTGACAGGCCCGAGCGGAGCCGGGTTTGCCAACTAGTTGCCTAAACGGTTGAGCAAAGTCTGTGACACCAATTTACTCCTGGTGCGTATTGACCGGCCAATGCATGATACTTGAATACTGTACAATACCACCCGTAATTTGTGAAAAAAAATGGCGGCGGCGCCGCGTAAGTTAAGTGCCGCCGCCATTTTTTTTCACAAATTACGGGTGGTATTGTATATGAAAAGAAGATCGTTCTTCCTGGGTCACATCTTATACTCTGCATTGTAAAGCGATGTAATGCCAGTGTTTTAGCCATTCGTACCTTCCATCATGCACCGGCCGAAGGACTCGCGTGATCTGATGGTTTATGCTTGCGAGAAGTTTCAGCCGTACTCGCCACAGTTCAAGGTAATAATTTATATAGTATTGTTATCCGGAACATATAAAGTGTAGTTCACATAAAGTGTGACACAGAGAAATTTCCATGGCTTCGCTGGAACTGCATGAAATTACAAGTTTTCATCCATCTGATAGAAAAGAAAATTTTGTATAGAATCTTATAGATCACTCTCAAGATGCCCGCCTTTGTCTTTGATAGAAGGATTTATTCTCTTCAGAAAAATTTTCACGATGCGCGCAATGGTTATTGGTGAAATTTCGACCGAGGCTCTCATCAGGTTTCCTTTCAGCAAATCAAGTGACATGACTTTGGAAGAGAGTTTTTTAGTACTCTGCGTTGATACCACTGCTTTTCGCAGGGTTGAGAACGGACGAGCTGCAATGCCAAACATCATTTGTTCAAATGTGGTCCACATGAGGGTCGACATGCTGTGAAAAAAATTTTTCTAGTTTATCTCATGCCATATTTCGATATTCGTCTTCTCCATATTCTCTTGTCCCAGTGTGGTCGCTTCCCACTTCTGCTCAGTTGATCAGCTCAAAGTTTTATTTTGCCGCTGTCGCTATGAACCGAAAATCGCAGTTTTTAAGATTTTGAAAGGTTGTGTTCTTGGGTTGGCAAAAACATTATGGACTCTGCTGAAATCTGTAGCATGGCTAGGCACCAATCCATAGCGGAAAGAAGAAATTGCAGTTGTGTAAAATCCATCATTCGGACATTGAAACAGTATGATGTTTGGCCTTCTAACTCGCGATACTATTTATCAAAGAAAAGAGTCTGTTCTTTGAAATCCACGTCACTTTATTTGCTAGAAAGAGACCTGGTGAGAGCTTGGGACCAAAAACCAGTCGCAAATTAAAAAAATTTTGGGGGAGGTTTGAGAGGAGAATGCATTTACTGAAGCCAGAGTTGAGTATATCAAAAGGAATCAGAAAATTTCATATGGAATTTCTTGATCGATCAGTAGGCGAATGTTCTTGTTTTCATTTCGTCCTTGCAATTTGTCACATTTTATGTGCACCATCATATAATACCCTCTCACTCTGCGCATTCAAGTGTTCGAAGATGCTAGTTACGCCTTCCAAAATTATTCAACTAGCTCACAACCAGAGCCGTTCCGGGCACCGGAAGCGAACACTTCCGTTTACTCTGGCTAGGTGCTGGCTTGCGGGATGCACGAGGAAAACTGTTGTTGTTTAGAAGAATGTCGAGGTTACGAGGCTTTCAGCTTGCTGAATCAAGCATGTTATCTGGTGTACGGCTACAGATGCATTCCACAGATGGAACTTTAAAATGCCTTTTAGATAAAGGACTTGATAAAAAGTCACAGCGAAGATACTTCGTCAATGTGTAGGCTTTGCATCATACTCTTGTACGCGAATGAGAATGAAATAAGACTCGAAAATCGTTAACTTCTATCTCTGAAGACGAGAACACACTTGAGTAGCCATGAAAGACTACACAGTGCTGGACAAAATTATAGGTCCACTCTAAAAAATGCCATCACCCACTCTGTTGTCAATAAAATGTTCCAAAATTTGGTGCAGCCGTGGGTTTCCAGCCTACTAACAGTCACAGTCATCAAAACGGTCTCGTTTTTTAGTTATACAAAGAAAAATCAAAAATTTTGAGAAAAGCAGGCTTGAAGGCTGGTCAAAATTATAGGTCTACATGAGATTTTTACTGATGGAAGCACTTCCTAGCTTCCGAATTTTTTTTGTAGATACACATTCAAAAGTTTTAAACAGTCAAAAGAACCGATTATCTGCGATTTTTGCCTTGAAAATGCTTTCATATGTATTTCGCTCCAGAAATCGGCTTTGAGTGGGAAATTCTGCAGTTTCTCAGCAAATCTGACTTTTCTGAAGCAAATCCGACATCGACTTAATCGGGAGCATAAGCCTCAGTTTCTGCCCCAAAACTCTTTATGCATTATCATTATAACCTCAAGATATAGTAGAAGCATCTTTTACACAAGAATAAATCTGTACGCCATACTCACAAGTGTTCACAGAACTGCCCTTTGGTTCTTTTTCGAACATGAGTTGTGCAGCGCAATGATGATGTTACTCACTTCCAAAGTAGCCTGCCAAGTGCCAGCTCTCTTAGATTTTTGACAGTAATTATTAACTAGATAGTGGATACAACTTGTCTTGTACAGCACATGTTCTCCTGAAAAATTTACCAGAGCCACAATTAGCTTTGGTGCTGGTCGCAGTCAGTTTCTGCAGCGTAATTTCCGTAAATTTACTCAAATGGTAGGCTCTAGAAAGTTGTAACCATGGAATACGGACTCCTCTTCGTATAAACATTGCCTTTTCCTTACTTAATGCTTCTGAGGACATTGTAGAAGAAGTTTGAAGGCAGAAATTTGAGCTCAGGATTGCAGTAATGTCGATGTCGGATTCACTGCAGCAAAGAGCCAGATTTTTTCTTCGATGTTCTCGTCACAAAGCATCTAGAATGTAGATGAAACTCCGTCGCTTGCAATCCAGTTGATAAACTGCAAAATTTCCTACTCAAAGCAGGTTTTTGGGGCGAAATGCATGTGAAAGCATTTTCAAGGCAAAACCGCAGATAATCGGTTCTTTTGGAGGTATGACACCAGCTGACACACAGCTTGACTTAAGCAGCTGTTTAACATTTCGAATGTGTACCTACCTCAAAAAATTCGGAAGCTAGAAGGTGCTTCCATCAGTAAAAATTCCAGGTGGACCTAAAATTTTAACCAGCCCTCAAGCCTGCTTTTTTCGAAATTTTTAATTTTTCTTGAATAACCAAACGAGAACGAGACACGTTTTGATGGCTATTAGTAGGCTGGAAACCCACGGCTGTACCAAATTTTGGAACATTTTATTAACAACAGAGTGAGTTATGGCTTCTTTTAGAGTGGATCTATAATTTTGCCCAGCACTATATTGATGTGGTGAAATTTTGAAGGTGCAGTTTTCGCTTATGTTGGGTAATCTCAATCAACTTTCAACTTGTACCAGCGGCAATTATCAGAAGGGAATTCAAATTCAAAAAAGTTGGTAATTGTAGAGAAAGAAAAAGTGTCTGAGGTGGAAGATATGGAGCTGTATTTTATTGTGAATGACATAGTAACAAGCACAAACTAAATTTTTTAATCACTTTTCAGTTAACCGTCACCAAATCTTGAATGTGATAGAATAGATGCGGATTTGTGGAAATTTTAGTTTCACTTGCGTTTTATGGCAAGACTCATAAATCTAAACTCGCAGTAAAAGGCAGGCGCCAGACTTAGCATTCATTTATTTAGCCTTGCAGAATAGCAGCTGATAAAGAAGTTTTGCACCATAAAAAACTATCGTTTTCAGGAAAGCAGACAGCGATTTGATTTCTCTCCAACGTGGCACCAAATGACATTGATTGCGCGCGCCCTGCTAAAGCAGCTAATGGGCTAAGGCTTCCGCCAGAGTGCCGAGGCCATGCCAGCGCCGAACCAGCGTTTCGATCGATACACGTGTATTTCGTTGGGGCGGGGCCCATCTGACCTAGTTCTCAGCAGGTAGATGTCCCCAACGAAATACACGTGTATCGATCGAAACGCTGGCTCGGCGCTGGCGTAGCGCTGGCATGGCTTCGGCACTCTGGCGGGAGCCTAAGTCTGGTACCCATCGAATAAAGAACAATAGCTTTGAAATTGAAAATCTCCCCAACGTATTGGAATTTAGAGAATAGCATTACGAAGACTCGTCCAAATCGGTGCGTATCGTAAGCGCTCTGTTGGCTGTGGGGCAGGCTCAGAATAGCAGACATGGCTTTGACTCCTCTGCTTGCGTAATCTTAGAAAATGTGTTGTTATTTTTATGGCTCACTATGAGTGTTGACTGAATAATTTTTACCTGCGTTTATGTCCCTTTGCTGCAGAAACATCCATCCTTTTTGCTGTACTTGTTTGCTGCTCTGATATTCACAGAGGAAATTGATATATTTGGTTGATAGCTTCATCATTATTTTTAGACTTTGCTTTCGGTGAATGATGGGAAGTGCTTTCACGGTAAATAATAATTGAAAAGGTGTTTTTCACTAGTCTGTAAGCCTTAATGTGAAGGTAACTACGTGTGAGGTGACGAAAGTGACTGTGTCCGTTTGCATTAGATCTTTTTTTTGTATCAGAAAGAGGAAAGGTAATCATTTTATGGCAGATATGGGAACGATTCAGTTGATTTTATGAAGTAGAAATCACTTTTCGAATTTTTTGACACAGTAAAGTTCAAAATTTCAACACTTTTATAAAATCGTTTGAGCAAGGTGCAAAATTTTCACGAAATAATCACATGATCTTCATTTGAAGAGAGGAGTTGACATAAATATAAAAAGTGGGTTTCAGAGAGTACTGAGAGTTTTTCTGAAGAATCCAACTTGTCCATACAAACTTGTGTGCAGTGTTTGGCATGATATTGTGGCCCTGCGCCAACTGGAGTGCTAAGGGTTGCTGTCAGGTCAACCTGACCTATTGGATAGAATGAGTCGAAAGCTTCTTTTTGCTTTCACATCATGGCCAATTTGAGAAGCGGCATACATCTCACCCGCGTAGAAGTTAGCACACTTGTGAGGTCACGTACGTGTGAATTTTGGGGACTTTCTGATCTTAATGACACTTGAACGAGAGGAGTGCAAAGGGGAATCTGGCATGCTAAACGCGAAATTCATATCCATTGACTATGATGATTCCTTGTTCTAGAATCATTCGTATGACAAAATATTCACATTCTTATAGTAATAAATCATTAAAAATTCAGTTGAATAACAAATCAAAAAATAATAATCAATCTTGGAAATATGTCATGTACAGCGTGTCCCAAAATTAAGTACACACTTTTCAATCGTCAATATCTCTCTTCCCAATAGGTCTTTTTTTACCATTCAAGCGCCATTCTGTAGAGGAGACTTCAACTTAGATTTACAGTATCGAGCAATCACCGATCGCTCTTCGCTACTGTAGGATTACGGTAAGAACTTTCAGCATGTGGAACTTTTGTGAAATATGCCATCTGACAAAAAATCTTCAAAAAATCTAAAAAATCGTCTTACTAGGGTTTTCGCGCACGCTGATTCCACTACCTTTTCACATTTGTTTTCGGCTTTTTTGACGGTAAAATCACACTTCTGGGAATTACTAAAAATTCAGTTATAACGGTTTACTTGGGATAACTTTGGAAATAAGCATCACAGTAAAGTAGAAAATTTATATTGAAATCAGCGGCTTCCATTACTATAAGATAAGAGTTTTTGGCTTGTCTGAGTTTGTTCCTAGGCAGAATATGGCTTTCAATGGCCCAAAATCCTTGCCGAAGCTCCTACAGTAATCCTACAGTAATGAAGAGCGATCGGCGATTCGCTCGATACTGCAAATCTAAGTTGAAGCCTCCTCTACAGAAAGGTATCTGAATAGTGGAAAAAGACACAATGGGAAGAAAGATATTAACGATTGAAAAGTGTGTACTTACTTTTGGGACACCCTGTATATCTACAAAGCTGAATCTGTTTGTCTGTCCTTATGTCGGTCTATAGATATGTGTGTGTGTTTCGAATATAATTTTTGGTTTATGAACCGATCCGCACCAAACCTGGCACACATACTTCGGGGCAGGGCGAGTGTCGTAGGCCTTTCGTTATCGACCGATATTGATTTCACCGATTTTTATCGATTTTTTGCAAAATTTGAGCTGCGGGGCTGGGATTTGGTACAGGGGGGGGGGCGTAGGGGGATGGGGGAAATGAGCATGCGGATTACAAATTATGACTTTTGGGAGTATCGACCACTCTTATCGATTTTATCGATTTTTTGCAAAGTTTGACCTACGGGGCTGGGAGTTGGTACAGGTGGGCAAGCGAGCATACTGATTACGAATAAAAATTCTTTTCTTGAATCATCGCACCTTTATCGGCTTTATCGATTTTTTGCAAAGTTTGAGCTGCGAGGCTGGGAGTAGGCACAGCGGGTAAGGTGGCATGTTGATTACGAAAACATAATGAAGAGTGAGAACAGGGGCACGCAAATGTGCAAAGAATTGGAAATGGCGATTATTAGAGTGTATTGACAGGGCCAGGCGGAGCCGGTATACCAGCTAGTATAATAAAATTGAATAATAAAAAACAATAGTAACTAATAATGAAAAATTATGAATAATATGGAAAATAATAGTGAATAATAATAAAATAAAATGAATAGTGATGGATATAAATAATAAAATTCAATTCAAATCATATTATCACAATTCGTCCATCCTCTTTTCAGTACCCATAGAAAATTATCATCGGTCGACTGCTGCAAATGTCTTTTTTTTTCCAGCGAATTCAACAACTTTACCATCGCGGCCACCTACGTAGAATCGGGCCCTCGCCACGTACCGCCGATGAGACTTTGCAACTTTTTGTGTCATGTGCCTTGTACCATGGACAAAGCATTCTCCATAATTCATCGTTAGCAGCTGAGGTAAGCATTTGCGACTTCTTTAGGAGTATACAAACTCTACAAAAAACTTATTTCTTCCGCATTACCTAGTGAAGTATCAATTTGAGCAACATATGACCAATTTTGGCGGCCGACCTTTGTACCATGGGTTATTGCAGCATTAGAAACAGTACAAGTAAACAGACATACTAGACTTTGAGGATTCTTACAAAACGGAAGTACTATTCGGCGGTGATGATGATGATGGTCTTTCGTAAGCAAGATGTGTTTTTTGCTTATTCTCAATGCTGCTTTGTCAATGAACTGCGCATTAGGTGGCTTGTCATCGGCTTAAAAAGTAGGTCTCGCCTCGCGAAATTCTCGCCCCCTCTGATGAAGAGCGATCCATTAGATGAGCTGTATCTGTAAACAAGTGAAAACCGCTCGTTTCCTCAACTTTTATTAGTCCTACTTTTGGCTGTTTTCATTTTCCAGTCTCTTTCATTTCATCCCGTGAATTTTTGCTATGTTCCCCTGCCTGGTTAGACTGATCCAAGCAAAGACTCGCCACGGCGTCCTACACGTCAGCAAAACTTTAGCTTCTAATTATGAGCGTATTGCTAGATGATAACTGTGCCAAGCTACTTTACGCTAAAACTTTGTCTCGATAGCTTACTTTTATGCTGTCGATCAATTGCTAGTCGCAGTGATGCCAAGAAAAAACCTCACAGTGAAGTTTCGTTGCTTTTGGAATGGACGAATTGATTATTAAGGTGTTCCTTCGTCTTAGAGGATTTTTGAAGCAGCAGACCTGAGATTATATTTTGTCTATGTGAATGTTCAACATTGGCATTTGATAGCATGGGCGAAAGATGCTTTGTTTACTTACAATTAGACCAAACTTTTGGAAGGTGCCACTGACTGAATGATGTTGAAGTCGCAGATTCGTGAATGTCAAACATCACTTAGGTTTGCGATATCTGGCCGGTTTGCTGCTAAAGCATGTTCTCTGCCTAGGTAATCCGACCTGGCGCGTTTTTAGTCAGTGCAAATTACTTGAGAGCAGCATTTAGTGAAATCTTCTGGATTAAACAGATTCGCCAATAAGACAGGACCACATTGTGGACATTTATGGCTGAGTTGATGGCTTGGTATTTTTTTCTACAATCTCCCATGAGTTTATTTCCATTGAATTCTTGACTGTCTCGGTTGTCACTTCGGTGCCTCTGCTTTAATATCACACATGTCATATTGCTAACATCGTTGTAGGGAGGTGCTGCGCAAGCTGCACTCTTCTGAGTGGGAAGATCGAGGTGTAATCATATAAACGAGGGACTTACATTCTTGGATAACTCGAGTGTTGAATTTAGAAGTTGTATCAGGGATGATGTAGTTTTCCATCTTAGTGGAGTTTGCATATTCTATATCGCTTATCAGTGCAGTCAGATGGCTCTTGATTTTTGCGGCAAAGCAATTCCATTGTAAGGTTTATCCGAGAGAGCATTCAGTCTATCCCAATAGGAAGATTCTTCTACCCAGCCGTTTTGGGTGGATGACGTGGTGAATTCAGTTCATAGCCTCATCACCACACAGACTAGCCACTCAGTTCAAACAGGGTGCTACTGGAACCCTCAAGCAATGCAACATTGAGCTTGACAGAAATTTGAATTCTTCTAAATTTCAATTCTAGATGATAGGGCAGAATTTAAGGCAATGCAAGTCTACTGCGGACGAGCAGTGTGCTTTTCTGTGAAATATTATTTTCTCAGTAATTGGCACTTGCCATGAAATGCATATTGTATCACTTCTTAGATCTTTCTTACGTTTTCAAGCGATCTCCTGTTCATTACCACCTTCCGAAAGTTTTGCATACGGTTTCGTTGATCGCTGATATCCGAAGTGTTCAGGGGTTGAACACATACAAGCGCTTTTTTCTATCTTTTGGTCTAGCGTAATAATCGAAATGTCCAACATTGTGTAAGAATTCACTTAACGAATTTCGTAAGCAAGAGCGCAATCTTAAAACTAGGATTTGTCACCAGCAAAATGAACAAATTAATGTAATAAGAGTTTTTGATACCAAAGATAGATTCTTGGCAGCAAACCTACTAGAATAGGTTTTGTCATTTTATTACCCGGGTATATCGAAACCTCGCGGGCCATCGCAGTTTACGCGCGGTATGGTTTGGAGTTGCGGCATCTTTGTCTGTAAAAGATATATCCGTTTCATGAAATGTATTCCTTGAAGCATCATCACTCCTTAGCATAATGATGAGTGAACGCTCGAAACCGCTTTTAAAAACGTAATCTCATGAATATGTATTGGTTATTAACCCACAAAATTTGCGCATGACACTCGATACACTGTGAATAAAAGTAGCTTTATGAAACAAGAGATACATGAATGCAAGAACACTGAGGGTCTACATACCCGCGAACGAAGATTATCTGCTACTCGACAGAACATGCATGCACTAAATAGGCACCTAAACCAGTGAAGCAGCTAAGTTATGGATACAAGGAATCACATCGAGCAACTAATGTTTACATTCAAGAATCACTGGGTGGTTCTGATTGTATGCAGCTGCAAAATGTCTTCGGAAATATCTTACATAAATTTACTTTGAACACGCAACAGTGAGATCCAAGTTTGAAACACATACTAGCGAGACAACTAGGCATGACCGACTGAGATCCTCTAAATGCTTCTATCTTAAGTTTCAAAGGCAGTTGATAGCCCTCGCACATCATTGAACCGTTATGTAACCTAGTCACACCTCATCAATGAGAGATAACCGCATTGATGACCCAGTCTTGTCATGGTTCGTTATCCCGCTGTACGCTCTTGAGGTAACCTTTGAACGTTTGATGCGAGTTACATCGATCGTAATTGCAAACGCAGCGGAACAAAAATTCGGAACGCCCGAATCGAGGCGACAGTTTCCCCAACTCGTACTTCTGTAATGAAAAACATAATGTTCATTGTTGTCGTAGTACAGACTAAAGTCCAAAAAGGATGTTTTCATAATCTTTGCTAGCGTGCTTTAGTGTGTTTTACATACAAAAAGGCGAAAGGCATCATACATAGTATCGTGATTTCTTAATTTGAAATATATCTTTACTCTATGGCAAGTATCCTTGTCTTTCCTAAAAGTCTTAAGGCCAAAGTCCTAAAAGTCTAAAGGCCAGAAATCCTTGTCCAACTTCAGTTTCCACACAGATGACTGCTTTTTATTCTTGTGAAGTCTAATTTGAGCGCATTTTTAGCAGTTCCTTTGTATTTTCATATTCAGCTCTTCTCTTGAGTAAGGTGTCTTTATTTGAGTGTAAGCCTAGATCAGTCATCATTGCGCGCTTCTTTGAATATTTGGCATTCATCTTCGAAAATCTAGGTCCAGAAGGTCCATTTCTACGTAAACTCTACTTTCTTCGCTTTCAGTCAAATGTGTATTTTCACAGATGTAATTATGCATACCTCATAAATACAGACGCTTAAAACTTTGTAAAGATTGTCCGATTGTTGAAACGTCTGATCGTAACCAGCTAAACTCTCCTCATTGGGTCCTGAAAATAATCCAGATTTTTTGTGCAGCCAGCTGGATTCGACTATACTTACCGATTCCGAATAGTTTTCCTTGGGAGTTTTCAGTTTCTGGAATGAACGCGCAATAACTCCACTGATCGTTGGTGACCTCGCGCATATTGCCCTAAAAAAGGTCTAAGGTCTCTAGATTTTCGAAGCTTTGGCCTATCAAAGACGGTTGTGTGGAACTTGAGAAAGTACACGTGATACATTTGTAATCTTTATATTAGAAAGCATGATGACCACTTGCGAGGCTTGTAGATTGTTAGTTTTGCAGTGAATATTCTACATATGTTGATGGCAGTTCCTAGAAGTTCGAACTCTAACAATCAACTGGTCATCGCGATCACCGCAATGATGATACTTCAGCAGTGACTAAGTGCCGCGTATCATCTCTTCTCTCAAATCAGGATACGAGTTCAAATGACGTGAGCGAAACGATGCCTGCCTGACGTAATAAAGAGGCAATTAGTGGCCCGAAAATTTGTCGCAATTGTTGCGCCGCCAAAAGTCACACAGACAACTCCTAAGGTCACAAATAAAGATCACCGCTGTATATACCTCTGAATCATTCTCGTAGCAAGTAAGGGACGTAGAACTTCGAATGAATCCCGCAGCGAGTGCAATCAGAAGTAGCATAATGCGCGTCCGCAAACGCTGTCAGCTCACTACGACTGCGCCTTCAGCCGGCTTTTATGTGCCGAGGGCGGGGCATACGTGCTACCGTACGCATTCGCATCTATAGTATGCTTCTCTGCTCCCTCCAAGATGTGATCTCACTCTTAGGCATGTGGATAAGTCGCTCAGTTTGCTTTCTGCTAATTGTGATGAGCCTGCGTTACAAGCCATCTTTTCATAGTTTTCCTTCCAAAACCATTGACATGCACAGAAGCGACACTGTCGAAGTGACTGATTTGAGGTGTAGTCTAGAAGTTATAAATTCGATCTATGCGTAGTTGATATTGTAGGTATAGCATCCGTGCTTTTAGTTTCGCTTTCAAGACCTAAGCTAACCAGGGGTAGTTTTTGAGCATGGTATTTCCTTGGAAAGAGCAATTCAAACACAGAATCGGCTCTTTAGAATATGGTACATATTGTTGGCATTGGCTTTGCCTTCATCATACTTTCAACATTTGATTTAGCTTTATTTATAACATAAAAACACATAGTGCAACTTTTGTATACAACTTATCGATCAAAATTTATTGATACTAGCTGGCGTCCGATCTCCGTCTAGACCGGGAGCTTAAGTCCTAAGAATGTGCATAGTACTGTTTGGCCCGAAGCATGCTTCTTTCCTTTTTTAAACACCCTCCCCTTGCCTCCTTCCTGCTTCCACTCCAAATTGCCACCTCCATCCCCAAGAATGGGGCGATATTTTTGAAAGCTGTAAAATGAGCTATAAAAATTGTGTCTGCAAGTGTCTTGGTTACTTGTAAATAATTAATTCACCAAGCCTTCTATGTCTAAAATTTCGGAGTTATGGATGCGCAGAAATTTTGGGAAGCGTTCCAAAAGAAATTCTTTGGAGTGTGTAGCTAATGCCACGCACCTTCATTGAGATAGAATTTTTCGCTCCGCACCCGAACGGAAATCCTAGGACCGCCACTGATATGTATGATATCATTAATGGTTTTTAACTTACTCGGATATGCTTGATCTTACGTTTTATGCAATTGAGCAATCAAGACTGATGAAATTTGATGAATCAAAAGAAATAGCTTGACGTCGTAATAGCCACTGCAGTTCTAATATTGTGTTGCCAAATTACCGATATTACCGATAGCTGGCTTATTCCAGCTATCGGTAATATCGTCCCTAAAGTTCTTCTGCGTTGAGATGAGTTCATATTGGAAGCTGGGCACCTTAGTAGTTCTTACTTTTCATCCCATTTCTAGAGCAATGGGGAGCATACTGTTTTGAGAGAATGTAGTGCGAGGTAGAATATCAGAGGTCACATAACGTATGGATTTGTGTAGTGAAATAATAGCAGATGCACGATGTGACTATTTACAGCTACTGTTCATCGTGTCAGCCACCCTTAGCATGCAGTCATGTGCTTTTAGGATCCTGGACCAAAAATACGAAAGATTCGAATGAAAGCATTTGGAAAACTTTTCGATTCATTTCATATGTTTTTATAACATATGTGAAATGTTCTGTTTCACCTGCGTAACTAGAGATTTTATGTGGAGCGAGGATGTCGAGTAGAAGAACTCAATCGTTACCAGCATGAATTCCTTTCGGTCAAAAGAAGTAGGTCGTAAAACTAGGTAAAAAATATTTTGCTGTGTCGTTCAGCATCTCGAGCCTAAAATTGTAAAATGCCATTCGAGGGTTTGTATTTACCAGCTGGTGGCTCCGCGAATCAACTCTGTTGTTTGTTTCAAGGAACTAAAAAGTGCATAGACTTTTTCTTGATTAGAGAAAATCACAAATTTTATCAATGTTGGTGCAAGGCTTTGAACCTATCTACTAGTTTGGGCTCCTAATCGCCCATCCTACAGCTCGACACGGACTGCCATGCTGCGAAAATTCTACTTAGGTCATTCGAAGAGGTCGTATATCCTCAGCTGGTCCCATATCCGGCTCAATTCTTTCGCGCTGTTTCAGCCGCCATAGAGAAATGACCTTAGAGCACCTGGCCACGAAATGCATGTGTACGGATCACGTCCATGCCATATGCTTTGAGAGTATAGTTAGAAACAAAAGTTAGCTCAGATTTCATTCCCTGCATGTCATTATAGAATGATGGAAACAATGATTAGAATGGAATTAAATTTTATATCTCTGCTGTACGATCAATGGTATATGGTCGCTTCTGTCCTGCGCAAGAATGTTGTGATGGATTTAGGCCCGTAGATATACTACGGAACTGCTGAAGATGTTTATAGTACAAATAAGGGAAATATTGGGATTTCGAGATCTTCGGTAATCGATGATCCCTAGCTCGCGAGCTAGGGATCATCGAGAAAATCACAATCTTCAGATTCCATTTCTCCTCTCAAAAACCTGCTTAACAGTGCCGTAGTATATCCACAGTATAAATTTACACCGTTTTCGTTGAGTTTTCAGAAAGATAAATGGCAGTGAATCTGGATTTCGCGTTGTGTACCTATCCGTAAGTATTCCTACTACCCTTCACTACGAACATGTTGAACAGGAGCGAGAAGCTGTACCAACCACATTTTCCAGCTTTAGTATGATCCCTGATGATCCCCGGCGCTTTTCTTTAAAGTCATTTTTCTTTCTCCTAAGTTAACGAAAACCTTCCAAAGTTGTACTGAACATCTAACACAACAGTGCTGAGCATGTTGCTGATGAGAACAAATGAGTTCTTGAAAAGTCGAATTTTTCGGTAAACCTCAAATTTCGACCTGTGGATCATCGATAATTTCATGACTTCAAAACATCATTTGTTCTTTTCAGCAACATGCTTAGCACTGTCGGGTTAGACAATCTGCACAACTTTGGAGGTTTTTCGTTAACTTCGGAGAAAGAAAAGACTTTAAAGAAAAGTGCCGGGGATCATCAGGGATCATACAAAAGCTGGAAAATGCGGTTTGTACAGCTTCTCGCTCCTGTTCAATATGTTCATAGTGAAGGGTAGTAGGAATACTTACGGAGATGCACGCAATGTGAAATCCAAATTCTGGAGTTTCGAAATATAAAGCTTTCTTTTCAGCTGCGATCCCCTCCCCGCGGGGATGTTAGTGCATGCGGCCCTAAAAGTCTAATCAATAATGCCAGTAACCTGGCATTAATTATGCGCAGGTATTAGGGTATGAGAGCCTTCATAAGCAAGATAGAGAAGGAAGAAGAAAGTTGCTTAGAGAAGCGAGATATGACGCATCCTCTCTCAATCCCCTCCTCTCCCCAGCGGGGATGTACGTGCATACGGGCCTTAGAGAATGCCAAGTTGGACCACTTTGACAAACCCACTTTCATGGGCTTTCAATGGGAGTTTAGTATAGCGAATAAGCCTTACCTTTGCAGTTTTCGTACCTTTGCGACTAGGCTACGATACGTGAGTCATTAGGTCAAACATCATTTTTATTCAAGGTACGATATATGAAATAGCGATAACAAATGAAACATGCTATTCTGATGCAATTCCTGAAAAGACTCTATTAGTTGGCTCGTAAATTTTTCCAATGTTGAGTTTTCACTGCAATAAGTCACAGACTTCTCGATACTAATTAGAAAGCAGGATAATGTTGGATAGAGCAAAGCAACAGGGCTCGGCACGGGTGTATGTCAAGAGGCGCGATTTTTATTGCCAGATGGACACCAAATAGCACATAATAAGTGTTTTATAACATTCTAAAGGTCTTTGAATTTTTGAAGGAGATATATTAGATAGTTGCAAGGATTCCTCAATCCTGCTACCTTAAAACAAATTCAAAAAAGCAATTTTAGAGGACAAAAACCCGTGAAAATTCAGTTAAGAACAAATTTGTAAATATTTCGGTCCGTTTTCCAGCAAAAGCCACCAAACTAAGCAAGTGGTAACCTCAGACAGTTAGTAAGCTAATGCACTCTATCTGGTACTTTTTAAGACTCGCATAGCACTAAACTGGAGTTTTGAATTGGTGACAGCCGGAGAAATCGCGCCTCTTGACCGTCTCCCGCTCGGCACGAGCTGGCACCAGGGAATTTTCAAAACAAAGTCCTCCCTGAAATTTGCTAATTTTTACGAAGTCCCCTTTGACCCCAGACCATATTCCCTGAAAATCCCTCCAAAAAACGAAACGTCAACTAAAAAAACAAAAAAAAAGACGTCGCAATTTGTCGACAAAAACGATATCCCTTTTGCTTTTTCACCCAAAAACGATATCCAGCTTGCCCCGTGCCATCTGGTGCCAGCCCCTACAAAGCAAGCTTTATAAGATAGTATGGCAAAGTGATCAATGGTACCTTTGGGTTGTTTCATACTGCCGCACTGACTGCAGCAGTCTGCACTGACCGCAGCAGACTGCAGCAGACTGCAGCTGACTGCACTGACTGCAGCAGGCTGCAGCAGACTGCAGCAGACTGCAGCTGACCGCACTGACCGCAACGACCGCAGCGGCTGAAGCCTGCAGACGGAGAGGATAAATAGTTGTGGTTTAAACAAACAACAACAATGTATACGTAAAAGCAAAAGACAACAAGGTTTAGAATGTTACAAAACCGGTATATGCAATGATAGGAAGAATTAGAACAAATACGAACACACCAAAGAAAACTATCGCCAAAATTTGATTGAGAAGAATTCTGATGGAACTTATGATCTTCTTATGCGCAAATTACGCTGTTTTGATAAGCGCGGTTGTTTTTTCTTTTAAGAGAAGAGGCTGCGACCGGTGCGGTGAGTGTGGTCAGTGCGGTCAGCTGCAGTCAGCTGCAGTCTGGTGCAGTCTGCTGCAGTCTGCTGCAGTCTGCTGCAGTCAGTGCAGTCAGCTGCAGTCTGGTGCAGTCTGCTGCAGTCTGCTGCAGTCTGCTGCAGTCAGTGCAGTCAGCTGCAGTCTGCTGCAGTCTGCTGCAGTCAGTGCGGCAGTCTGAAACAACCCTTTAGCACATTACGATTTAGAAGCCAAAATCAACTCGCTTACGCATGTACACTCCACATAAGATTCAAACATGCCGTTACTGTGTTTGATTATGTGCTAGAAACCGAAAC